GGGGGGGGGGGGGGGGGGGGGGTGGAAGTTGTGGTTGCTGTAGCGATTTTGTCCGTATAATGCTGTGCACCTCAACGGACACTGTTTTTGTGTGCCTGTGGGTAGGGGGACGGTTCGAGAGTGCTTCTGAAGAGTCGCTGTAGTGACAAGACTGATGAGTATAGTGTCGCTATGTGGTGATGGTGTGTGTGTTGGGCAAGAAGGGGGCTCTATTGCTTAAAAATGGTGTGTGTGTTGGTAGCAACTATGGGGGTGGTTGCTGGTGGGAGGATAGCCGATGTCCGGCTCGGGTGTTTGTTGTCCGCAAGTGTGCCGGGGGTAGACCCTCTTTCACTCTCCCTCCCCCCTTCCCTCCCGCCTTACGTACCTCCCCCTCCCCCTCCCTCTCCCTCCCTCTCCCTCCTGCCTTCCTCCTTCTCTCTCCTCTGCACGACACCCACAATCCCGTGGTTGGACTCCTCTATCTGCCGAAACGCGGGTGTTTTTTTCCGTCGGGTGCGGTCATGGCAACAAAACCATCGCCGGAACTGGGGTGTTTGGGATTTGCTCGTCCTCACGGTCTGTAACAACTATCTACGTTCGTTGATCGGAACCTTACTAACACATGTGCTTGTGTGGAACAACAACGAAAACAACGCCAGCACTCCGGTCACAGTTGCCGCCCTGTCCACGGTGCAGCTCATGGTGACGGCCCTGGATGGGGCGTTGCCGCGAGCCATGCGAGCTGTGCTCACCGAGGTAAGTCGGATTTTTTGGCGGCGTGGTGGTGCGTATGTACAAATGTGTGGCTTCCCTTAGGTCATTGGGCTTGTCGGTGTTACGTCGGCACTGCCTTTGGGCTGTTGGCAAGAATAGCTGAGTGTGGATGCGTCCCTCGGAGTGGCATCGTTAGCGCGTGCCCGTCATGCTTGCGTGTGTGCGGATCCGATCGTGTATGTCCTTAAGTCTACCACCCCCAACCTTTGCTCTCGCTCTCGTGGCCGTTTCGCGCATCCCTACGGCAACATTCAGGTCCATCGCATCAAGGTGCATGGCTTCAGTGACAGAGAGGTGAGGCAAGAGCGAAAGCAGCAGTGTAGTGCCGTCGATCTCCGCGGTAACGATACTCACCCTCAACGATCCTCGACGCCAACGTTCGAAACGTTACGTTATGAGAGAGGGGTCGGACGCAGCGGCAGACGACAGACACACAGCGCTCTGTCTGTCTCCCTCTGCCGAACCAGAGCAAAGTCGGGCGGCGGCACAACCTCTGCTGCTTCGTTCTTGCCGGGTGGTTGCTACTGTACGCTGATTGGTGATCTTGCTTCGGTAGTCGATCAATCGAGCCGTCCAGCCTCCGTCCCCCGTTCGGGCCCCGCGGCGCGGGGGTACTGCGCGGGTGCATTTGACGCCATAGCTGGCACCATTGTCTGCAAACCTCACGGAAACTTCTAGAGCTCCACACCCCACCGTTGTCTACCAGAGCATGGTGCCTAGCAAGCGGGGAGTCAAGTTCCCTTGATGCATGACGGACGGCTTGGAAGTAGTCCAAATCTGTCGACACCGAAGGCTTAGCACGCCGGGTTGTAGGCGTGCGTTGGATTAGAGTCGTCGCAAGGTGCCGGAATGGTCCCTGGCGAGAAGTAGAGAGAGAACGCAGGATGGTCCTTGACGTGTAAATTGTTAGGGAGACATTTCTTAGTGGGTTATCCCGCTTGGAGCTTCGGGTGAAACTGTCAACGGCAGGACGGCAGCCTTGCCTTTGCCGCAGACGAGCGTTGAAAAGCATCGAAGCAGAAGGGCGTAAAGGAGCGGGTGATGATAACATTGGTACCAGGTCATAACGACTTTGAAGATGAAGGTAACAGCAACATCATCATCCTCATCCTCATCAACAGCAACGACAACAGAAACGCAACAGCAACAGCAGTAGCAGTACACGGGAAGATTGCGAATGGCGGGAGGGTCGCCAGACCCCAGAGGCAGCCCGCAGGACTCGACGGATTTGGAAACCAACACACATATTGCAGCAGCAAATATGTAGCATGAGACACCGACCGGTTGAGTGCACACCAAGCGCCACGTGATCCGTGTTTGATGTGGACATGAAAAAAAATGCAGTAATTATATGTTGTTTTTGTGGACAGGTGTCGATAGCGAAGAAGAACCACCTCGCGGAGATAAAGGGGGAATGGGTGGCGAGGGATCAGACGGACTCGAACAACCTCTGCAGCGACTACGTGGAGCACTTCCTGAGGCACAACCCGGCCCCGGGGATAGACTGGGAGGCCGGGGTGCTGGCGCCGCTGCTAGAGACGGTGGGGACGGGGGACGTCAACGAAGTCGCTGAGAGGTACGTAGGGTGATTGATCGAAAAAGATTACCACAGGAAAGTCCTTGGTCGGACAGACGTAAGTATCTGGGGTTTGTTGGTGTAACGGTCGAATTGTAGCCTCGTTGTTGTTTGGAAAACTTGGGGGATCACGAATAGAAGAAATTTCAAAACCTTCTGTCTCTGTCATTCATTCATTCCTTGGAGGAGAGCAGAAGCAAAAGATGCATATTTTTCTCGGAGAGGTGATTCTAGTTTGGTATTTTTTGATCATGCTTTTTTTTTTTAATCGCTGCGAGGACCAAAGTACGCTACCCCGAGGGATCTTTTGTGGCGAAACTGAATTTCCCCGCAGGACCCGGAAGGAAAGCAACGTCTTGGTTGTCAAAAGACTGGCGTCTTGTCATCGGTCTAAGTTCAGGAGACACAACACGGTTGTTTTTTGTCGTTGGGTTATCTTTTTCGCCACGAAAGATGTTGCAGAGTGCCTCGGAATGTGTTCGCGACGGCTCGTCTCTTTCATTGCATGAACGATGTCGGCATCTGGATCACGCTGGGAAGTGGATGTGGCGATGTTAAAACATCGAAGCATCCCCTCTTTCATGGCTCCAACTTGAAAGGCAGGACTCCAATAACACACTTCTTTCGTTCGAAACACTGGTACCAACGGCCACACCGTTTCTTAGGCACGCAGGCAACATATTTTGTGCTTTCGCTTGTCCGCCACCTCCCCCAGGTTCTCTTGGGGCAAGAACACCGTCGTGTTCGCGACCTGCCCCACCCCCGGCAGGCTAGCGTGCCTCCAGAACTGGCTTTTGGAAACCCTCCCCCAGTCGCTGTCCTCGGCGGCGGCGTCGTCGCCGTTTCGAGGATCATTCTTGGGATCGGTCTTCCCGTTCCTAGAAGGGAAGAAGAGAATAAGGTTCGGCGGTGGCAGCCCCGCCAGAGGCGGCGAGGGGCCGACGGCGACGCTGCCGGCAGCGGGAGGGGGTACCGGGGGGGTGCCCACGAAGGAGGAGCTGCTGGCGGTGATGGAGAGGTTCGAGGAAAGGTGAGAGGAGGGGAGATACGAAAGAATATCGTTTGCTCTTTTGGCCCGAGGTGCGCGGAAACAACATGACTGGCTAGACCACCCTGGCATAGCACCTGTGGCTTCCTTCTGGGGGTTGTACCTAGAGCTTTGTTGTTAGCTTGAAGCTTTTCTGGAGATGAAACATGGCGAATGTTGGGGGGGGGGTGGGAGACAGGGAGGCCGTGAAGCACCGCCTTGGTTGTAGGGCCGTTTTTCCGTGTACGGATGACGGTGTGGGCGATGATCTGTGTTTGGGTTTGCTGTCGCTGGGTGTGTTTTGCCGTTTTGCCTATACCCAAACCCGTGCAGTACCCCTCACCTTCGTTCTGTAACTTTATTCTTCTTCGCAACAAAAACGACAACGAACTCATTTTCATCCATCCATAGACATGTACATCCATTCCAGGGTACAGCAAGTAGCGATGAACTCACCCATGTTATTGTTGACCCACCTGCACTGTCAACTCTTGTTTTTGGAGCACCCGTTGACGCGCGAAAGGGTTGCAGTTGTGCCGCAACACCAGGAGAATTGGCCGTGTGGCACAGTTGCCGTTGGTCTTGCGCCCGTGTTTGACGTGCGTGCGTCATCGCGTCGTGCGACTGCCAGCTCATCAGACACTGTGCGCCTTGTAGCTGTCGGTTGCCGCGATAACTTGTGAAACGTGTTGCAATGCCTCGCCTGGCAGGGGGGGCGGCGGCGGGGTGGGGCGGGGTCGGATGGGCAGCTGGGAGCGAGTCCGGGAGTGGTCGCACGATCGCTGGGGGGAGCCGCTGGAGGTTGAGGACCTGCTTCCGGACTACCTGACCGTGGGTAAGTTATTTAGCTGCATCTCGAACCACGTTCTCTTCGTGAAACGTCTCCCCGATAAATGTACCCGCATTTGCGTTTTTTTTTTTTTTCGCAATCCTTACCACACAACATCTGCTTGCCCCCAGTATACGGCCGCCGCCACGTATCCTCGAACACGGCTTTCAGTAAACCAAGAGCCGCTCACCCCCACCTCGAGTCCCAAACGAAAGAGAGCTACACCCCGCTGCGTTTCTTTTCCCCCGCTGCACCGCAGGGGATAGGCCGGCCGAGCCGGCAGCAGGGTGGTCGCCGGTGAAGGTGCTGGGGCCCGGGGACGGCGAGATACAAGTGCATGAGATCATTCTGCCCAACGGGATGCAGGTACGGCAGGACCGCAGTAGGTGATGCCGGTGTGTTACGTGAGTGCCGAAGGATTTGGCCGGCCTTTGTACCTGGGCACCCGCGCTAGTCAGGGTTGTACCATGGGCATGAGGCGACTTGAATATCAGTTTTTGTTTGTGTCACGCGATTGTCACCGACCTTGATCAAGTACAGGGGAGTTGGTCTTGGTCGAGCGGCCTTATACAGCGACCATTATTGACTGTGTGGTGGTGTCTCTATTGTTGATGCCGAAGGTGATGACTACTTTACTGTTACGCAAGACGCTGTCGAGTCGGTTGTGGTCGCTGGCGTTCTTCGATTCTCTTCATCGCCGCGCGTCCCCGAACCCCTCACTAGTCGAATCACGCCGAAATGCCTCGTGTGAGCCTTCCCCCGCTCCATCAGCCCCCGTCCGCCTGACCGGCGACG